GAGAGAGAGAGAGAGAGAGAGAGAGAGAGAGAGAGAGAGAGAGAGAGAGAGAGAGAGATGGAGAGAGAGAGAACAGAGGGGTGTTTTTAGTGTGTTGAAAAGCGGAAGAGGGGTCTGCTTAGAATTTTGGGCCGTTACTCCATGATGGTTCTGTGCAAGTGTTTGACGACCTGTCGTCTGACTATCATGACATGACTATGATAGGAAGCTCGTTGCCTCTGGCTTATATGAGGACTTAACAGCTCCGTCCACGGGACTACCTGAGTAAGGCAAATCAGGATCGAGTATTTTCGCTGAAATTGGCTTTGTGCAAATATGTTGCCTGGGTCCTCTGCAAGCTTATTGTTTACTAATTTATTATTTACTGTTTACTGATTTATTATTTATTGTTTACTAATTTATTATTTATTGTTTACTAATTTGTTATTTATTATTCCTTTGGCGATCGATGTCGTTCGTACATGGTTGTTCCAGTTACCACCCAGTGCCAGTTATGTTCTCGCGGGCTAAGGATGCAAATGTCTGGGATCCTGAGGGCAGGCATTACCTGGATTTCCTGAGTGCTTACTCTGCTGTCAATCAGGTACGTATTCCGATGACATGAGAGATTTGATACTAATTGATAGTGATGGTCTTCCGATCAAACATGTAACAGTCGATTTTGCTAAAGTGCCAAAGGCCCTTGCAGAGCGCTACTTCACTTGTTAAAAGAGCGCCCTCCCGCATGCCTGATCTCAGTCCATTTTCCCCAACCCCTGTCCTACATGAATAGCTCCCAGGTTTCCTTCCGCGCCCGATATGGAAGGAAAAGGACTCAATGCATGTATTAGCAGTGATCTGTTGTGGTTGTTCTTTCATTCCTTTTCTATGGAATCCCTGGTCCTGCTCAAGGGACAGGCTCGTATGTGAGGATCATGTAATGCACATATATGCGAGTGATAGGCAATTATGCCGTGTGCTCCGTTGCGCATCGTATTCTGCGTTGCGCATCGTATTCTGCAGAGAAGAGCACAGATGCACAGACAGACGCACAGACAGACACACAGACAGACACACAGACAGACACACAGACACACACAGAGAGAGAGAGAGAGAGAGA